GAGGCGCAGCCAGCCCCGGTACGGCTCCGGGAGCTCCGGTACCTGGCCGGGAGCCCTGTGCACGACCGGCCACTGTGGTGGTTCTGGCGTCCCGCTGCTGCTCTGGGGATGGTGAGCTAGCCCTGGTGCCGGTCCGGGAGCCCCGGGCTCAGAGCAAGACCCGGTGCCGGGCCGGGAGTCCCGGTTCTGCTGTGGAAGCCCCGACGCCGGGATAGCCCTGCTGCTGATCTAGGAACCCAGCGGCATGGCCAGCCCTGGTGCTGGTCCGGGAGCCTCAAGAGGCACAGCAACACTCAGGGTCGGTCTGGGACCCCCTGATTTACAGCGATACCGGTGCTGGTCTGAGAGCACTGAGTTCATTTCAAGCCTCGTTGCCAGTGACGCCAGGAGCCCCGAGGTGCCCTGGTGCAGGACAGGCTACCAGAGATCCACATCTGATCCCACGGCCCCAGAGGCACCCAGAGTCCACACAGAACACCCTGCCCCGTGGCCAGCTTTACAGCATGTCCCCATTGCCCCTCTGTCCTATATGTCATCAGAGGTCCCCACAGCAGTGCATCCTGCAGCCAGTGTCTGGTTATAGTGAATGGAGGGAGCATCGATAGGAGCTCCTCTTCCTGCTACATGCCTGGCTGAGCACAGCTCATCTGCCCCAAATACCAGCTCAAGGAAAGCTCCTTCCACTGGTGCTTTGGGTTCAGCAGGTGGCACAGGAAGCTCTCACTGTGTGAGTGTGCATTTCCCCAGTGTGAGTATTTCCCCAGTCATGATCCTGATCCTCCCCCCACCTTGCTGAGAGCAAAACCTTTGCCCTTGGCCTTCAACCTGGGATCTGGTTCAGGTGCACCCCTTGCCTAATGGGAACTGTCCTTGCAAAGTGCTCTGGTCCCTGCAAGCCCCGGTGAAAAGCTGCAGCATTGATCAGCTCCAGCATGGACACGGCAGGTTGCTGCCCCAAGTACATTTTAGCTGTTATTTTCAAAAGCTCGCTTTTGTAACAGGAACTTCGTAAAGGAAACGTGGTATACGGTGAACCCTGGGGCTGGGCGAGCTGCGGTTTGTGACAGCACCTCTGTTTCCAACAGGCCGCTCCTATTCCTTTCTTGAAGCTCAAAGTCTTCTTCAGCACTTCACGGAGGACATGCAGTCGTGTAGGGCTGTATGGGACCCTGGTATGTTCATCCCTCTGTGGTACCCGCAAAAAGCCTAATCCTGGCCTGGTCCATCTAAGCAGCATATGGAGGCTGCATTCTGCGCCTATGGAGACTTTTTCCGAGCAGAAGGCACCCTGTGCAGTGGTTGCTTCAAGACTTTTCCCAGCCTCCCACTCCTGTCTGGTGTTCTGTGTCACAGCTCAGGAGGGGGTTTTGGCATCTTCTGGAGCTCTTTTTCCTGGCAGCTAATGGAGCTTTAAATACCCATTTGGGGCTTCAGGCTTCTCAACTGGCAGTTGCCTCTGAAGGGATATTTTTGCAATAATAGGAAATTGATGGGCTTTTTTCTTGGGTTTGGTTTTTTTTTTAATCCCTTCTGAGCTCAACACCAGGAACAGGCCACTTGGTACCATCTGTCCATCTCTTGGGAAGAGTTTGTTTTCTTCCTTTTGCTTCCATGTTATCTCGGGTGTTTTGCCTCTAACAAAGACCATATAGGATCATAAAATCATTTAAGTTAGAAAAGACCTTTAAGATCATCAAATCTGACCATTGCCCCAGCACTGACAAGCCCACCACTAAACTATGTGTGGAATTGCCACATCTACACATCTTTTAGATACCTCCAAGGATGATGACTCCACCACTTCCCTAGACAGCCTCTTCCAACGCTTGACAACCCTTTGGGTGAAGACATTTTTCCTAATATCTGATCTAAACCTTTCCTGGAGCAACTTGAGACCTCTTCTTCTTATCTTGTCACTTGTTACCTGGGAGAAGAGACCACCCCCACCTCACTACAGCCTCCTTTCAGGCCGCTGTAGAGAGTGATAAGGTCCCCCCTCAGCCTCCTTTTTTCCAGACTAAACAACCCCAGGTCCCTCAGCCATTCCTCATAAGACTTGTGCTCCAGACCCTTCACCAGCTCCTTTGCTGGTCTTTGGACATACTCCAGTCTTCTATGTCCTCCCAAGGGTCACTGGCCTTTTTTCTCTAAGAGAAGATTTACAGGGCTGGCCCATTTAGAGAAAAAGCTTTGGGCTTGTAAGAAAGCTGCATGAATTTCACATAAACCCTTCAGCCAAGAGGACTCAACCTCTGGAGTTTCCTGCCTATGGCTGGGGAGAGCACTGGGATCCTGCTTCATTCCTGCTGGGTTTAAAGGATGGCTTTGGCATTACAGGCAGGGAGGAAATCCTAAACTGAGAGGAGGTATATTTAGATTAGCTATAAGGAAGTTCTTCACTGTGAAGGAGGTGAGGCACTGGCACAGGGTGCCCAGAGAAGCTGTGGCTGCCCCATCCCTGGCAGTGTTCAAGGCCAGGCTGGACGGGGCTTGGAGCAACCTGGTCTAGTGGAAGGTGTCCCTGCTGTGGCAGGAGGGTTGGAACTGGATGATCTTGAAGGTCTCTTCCAGTCCAAGGCATTCTGTGATTCTATGACTCCATGGGTGGATTTCAATCCTTTTAAACCAAAAACTCCATCTGAGTTGCGTTTAGCAAAGCCAGACATCATTTTTCTTCCAAATCCTTCCTAGCCCTGTCCCTTATCTCATGCACCAGTGCTGCCAGCAGCCTCACTCTCCATCCTGGAAGAGGGTGGTTAGGTACCATTATGGCAGGTCCAGGTTTTGGCACCTTGATTTGCTGTCCTGTGCAAGCACATGGGTGCATGGGTTAAAAAATGCAACCCCTCACCAGCTGGCTGTGTCTTACAGCACCCTGGCTGTGGTGCCTGGCAGCCCCAGCACTGCTGCCTGCCCAGACATGTGCCTTCCTGCTTCCAGAATGGCTGAAAAATGCAGGCAGACAATATAATAAAAGAGCTCTTTGCAAGAACTGAACAGATTGCTAGGAAATGAGCTTGTGCAAAGTTGTGCCTTGATTTCATGAGCCAGAAAAACCCAAAGTAACCCTGACCATGCTCAGTTAACATCCAAGAAAGGAGCGGGATGAAAGGTTAGGTGATGCCAGTGACACCAGTGACACCCTGAGTGTGGGACACAGCAGCCAGCAGTGCTGGCACAGCACAACAGCTCCGAAAAGAGCATCATTGGTGTGAGCCACGGGCGTGAGCCAAGCAGCGTCTCTTTATTGCTTCCATTAAGCATTAGGTCTGTCCCTTTGAGGATCATTGGCACAGGAGTGATCTGGCATGGAGGGGCCCATGGGGAATGACTGAGCAGCGTGAGGAGCTTGGGAAGAGGATGTGATCGGGGGGGGGGGCTCACACAACAGCTTTCAGCTCTTCAGTGTTGGGCTGGGGAGCCCTGAGCCTCTGGGTTATTTTGATTCCTGTCTAGCAAGATTTAAACCATGATTTTTATTGTATTTCCATTTGTTTCCAAGCTCAGTAATCAGAAGGAGCTCTCAGCTTTGATGTAACTCCTGAAACCCCAAACCAGGTGCGTTCGGGCATTAAAAAGTGGATTGTCCAAGGGAGCAACTTGGGGTGGAGAGGAGCAGCCGCATCCTTGCAGCCGCTGCGCCCAGTGTGCTCAGGCCGGCTCGGCAGCAGTCCTGGCTGGAGACGTGCTGCCATCTCTGGAGAAGACTGCGATACGGCAGTCCCAGGCCCCACCAGCAGCCGAGCAGTGATTTATCTGCTCGGAGGGCAGCCTGGAGCTCAGCCCCAAGAGCAAACCTCGCTGGCTGCTGCCGGAGGCACCGGTGGCTGGCTGGAGACTCCCAGTCTGCTCCCAGGGCAGGTAGGACACCACTAAGGGCAGAATGGTGATTAAATAGCTAGCGAGCGAGATAACAGTGTCAAGGTCACCAGGAGGTGCATGGGCTCAGGAGTGGAAACAGGGATGATGCAGGGACAACAGGGGTCACCCCGCAGCCTGCAAGCCCCCACTGTTCTCAGTGGTTCCACGATTTCTTTCCTCCCATGATAAACTCCCGGATGGGTCAGACACTGGGGTGTGTGCATCACCTCAGGGCTTGGTTGGGGGCTGCATACATGCACCTTAATAAATAACCTGGGGGAGGGGGGGAGGGGGTTGGTTTGGGGTTTTCTAAATTCAGTTGCACCGTTGCCCTGGGCTCTAAATACACATACCACGGGGCAGGGACCTCTCCTAGGAGGTTCTCTAGGAGTGAATCCTTGTTGAGATCAAAGGCAGATGATGGCCTTTCCCAGCCTGTGCACACACCGAGCACCCATGGCTCACATTGCTGCCACCTCCTAGCCTGTCTGTGCCTGGTCCATCTGTCTTGAGTGGTACATGGATCCATATGATGGAGGAGATCCCAGACCAGGAGGATGTTGCACAGCTGTTATCCCACCTGGCCTTCATCCTTCTGCGGTGGAACAGGTCCAGTGAAAGCCACAACACAGGCTTGGTGCTGTTGACTCTGTGGTTCCACGTGAGCCATCTCCAAGTCAGTAACACACCAGTAACATGAAACCAATAGGCAAACCAACCCTCACTGCATTTCTTTCTCTTTAGCCAAACCCTGAAGGTGAGCTTGCACGCCCCCATAATATACCCCCAAATACAGGTCTGCCCTTTGCTCTCGCCTGGGAGAGCCTGGCTGGTCAAAGAGCCAGAGTCAACCCAACCAGGTCACCTCCAAAAAAGCCCCAAGGTAGATTTGCGTGAGTTTCTTCCTTCAAAAACCAGAATCCATTTGACACCAAGAGTAAACATCACATGAGAAATGGCAGGAACATGACTACACCTTGCAAGGCTTGGCTAAATAGAGGGAGAGAATTATTTGCCCTGTCTCCTCCAAGGACAAGAAGCAGATGGGGACTTGAGTGATCATTATTTTTTTGGCCTAAATGCTCACTTGAGGCAGATATTAAATCCAGTTAACATATGTGGCTCAGCGGAAATGGATCTTTCATTAAAGTGATCGCTTGTTGGCATGCTTGCAGGGTGAGGTTATCCATCCCAGGCTCTGTCTTATCTCAATTACTGCTCTTATTAGGGCTCAGGGTCATCATAAATACCAAATTAAAACAATTACAGCAGGACAGGTAGCCATCTGAGCAACACAAATGCAACATTAGCACTTGGAGAAAATCAATTTTTGAGAGAAGAGCAAGACACAGTGGAGAAACCACAGCCCTGCTTGGTGGATATGGGGTTACCCCTGGGGGGAACGATGGGCATCCCAAGGAGGGATGATGGGCATCCCAGAAAGCACTTCCCCTGTCCTCCAGATTCTTGGCACAGCCATGAGCTTCTGGTCATGTTTCTGAGTCTCCATACCCAAAAAGTCTCCCTCATACCTCACCCTGCTGGGGTATGCCATTGACACCCTGAACCAGCCCTGGATAACCTCCCCTTGTCATGGAAGGGGATCATGCACAGGACAAGGCAATGGAGCAGGGCTCGGAACCACTTTTATTTGATGGGGACACACACTCCTCCCTGTGCATCCCCAGTGCCCTGAAGTCACACACTGAAACCCGCCTGCTCTCCTGGAGCCGGGTGCTCCCCAAACCCTTCACAAAGTGCTGCTGCTTGGAAATATTCACAGGTACTGGGAGCCCCCCAGTTCCTCTCTGGGGTGAAATGCAGCCCAGGGAGGGGCAGAAACACTTCACAGCCACCCCTTACTGCTAGCTGGATGCTGTCCCCACCTGCAACAGCCCCGTGCTGCCTCGGGATGCTCTGGAGTGGGGTGCAGGACTGAAGGCTTGCTCCTCATCCTCACCAGCAGCCAACGGCTTCTACAAGACCGCCGTGCTCAGGGGAAGCCGCGCTGGGGGGTGTCTGTCCTGTGCCAGCCCAAGGGACAGAACTGGCCATCCTCCCCTGGTCCAGGCCCTTTCAGGGAGGCTTTCCGGGAATTCAGCCTTCGGCAAACCCTGCGGATGAACAGGCGGAAGACGGAGGTGCGGAAAATGATGAAGACCCAGGGGTCCACGATGGAGTTCACAGAGAGAAACCGCAGGGCACTGAGGTCTGCGTTCTCATTGAAATCAGCAGCAAAGGCCCCCATGTACGCCCGGATCTGTCAAACAACCAAAGAAACAGGGGAAGATTAAGATCTCACTGCAGGGGTAAAGCTGAGAGCACAAATATTGCCCTGGGAGCAGCATCAGAAGTTTTAACCCCTCAATATCTTTATGCACCAAATCAGCACATGCTGTGGGTTACAGACCCTGAAACTGGGAATTGAGGCTGGGTCACGGATGGTGATGGCACTGGGGCACCATGTCCTCATCAGGGCCAGAAGGTCAGAGCTGAAGAGGTAGCTCCAGTGACCAGGGTTGTTTCACAGGTAAAGGAAGCCTCTGACCTCTGGAGACTGCAGCAGTGGGTGCTTCTCTGCCCCCAAGGGCACCCCTCATGCATTGCCCTCCCTGCACTCGGTATCACACCAGGCATCTGTTGGATAACCCGGCTGGACCATAGCTGGATGGTGATCCCTGGTGGATCAAGGTCCTTCCTCCACCTCTAGGTCCAGCCAGCAGCTCTGCTTGTTTGAGGACCACAGGGCTTTTGCCAGGGTTATTATAAAACCAGTATAAGCCCAGTCATGCAGGGGCTGCTGGTGGCTGGTGCATCACGATGTGGTCCCAGAGCATGATAGAGGGGACAGGAAGCAGAAGTTATCTTCTAAGGCAGTGGCAGCACCCACAACACCCACCCGGATTCCAGGAGAGCCCCCGCTTGCAGCACCAGTTCTGGCTACAGAGGGTGATGGCAAGGCAGTGGTGCTGCAGGATCCAGCCCTGGGACATGGGGCACTTGGAGGGGGGGGGGCAGCATGGGCTCTGTCATGGTGGGGATCTCCAACTCTGCCAGCAAGACCCCCATGTATGGGGAAGAAGTGAAAGGATTTCAGGGTGTACTTCCCCCAGGTCAGGAAATCCAGTGTGGTTCAAAAGGAGATGGATCTGCCCAGAACCTCCAGGACCAGGGGTTTGGAGCAGAAGGGGTGAGGTGGGGGATTGGAGGGTCTAACACAATGAATTAACCTCCCTAGAAATAAGCATGGGGTGTAGGGGGGGAACTACTTCAGGGGGCTAAGGCAATGAACCAAACCCCCAACATCTTCAACACCTCTGGGGCAATCCCAGAGGAGCAGGGTGGTGGTGATGTCAGAGGGAGAGGCTTAAAGCAATGACCAGATCCCTGGGATGGCATGGGGGACACTCAGATGGGGCCAAAGTGATTACCTGAGGCCTCCAGCACCTCTGGGACAGAGGGGTAGTGATGGGGGGGTGTGCGGGTGTGTTCTTTTGGGGGGGTTAAAGTAATGAGCTTACCCCCGGGGACATGGTGGTGGGTATTTGGGGGAGAGGGAGGGGTGAGTAAACACAATGACCCCATGTTGTGGGAGGTGGGGTGCAACAGGTATTCCAAGGAGGTTTAAGCAATGTCCCCAGGACAGAGACATCATAGTGGTGGTGTAGTGGTACCAGTCAGATTAAAGCAATGAATTAACCCCTCCCAACCTGGGATGGGATTGTGATGCCGTGGGTCATCCCATGGGCATTATGGCAACAGCCAGACCCCCAGGACAGGGCGGGGGACACTCAGAGGAGGTCAAAGTAATCATTCAACACACCCCACATACCCCCACACACCCCCCGACAGCTCTGGCACAGAGTGGTGGTGATGGGGGATGATTCCATGGGGGTTAAAGCAATAAATTAAGCACGAAGGATGTGGTGCTGGTGGTGGGCATTGAAGAGAGCAATCTCCTGGAAAGGAATGCTGGTACTGGGGTGGGGTTATTCCAGGGGTGTTAAAGCCTGACTGTCGGGGACAGGGTGGGAGCGATGGGTTATTTGGAGGGGACTAAAGCAATTATTTCCCCTCAGCACCTCCGGGACTGGGTGATGGTGCCAGGGTTTATCCCAAGAGGCCACCTGATTCCCCCCAGGACTGAGTGGTGCTGATGGGAGGATTATTCCAAGGGGGTTTAGGCAATGACTTGACCCCCATGACATGGTGGGAGAGTATTTAGACGGGGGTAGAGTTTTGCCATGAACTCCCAGGAGTAGGTGGTGATGCCAGGGTTTATTCCAAAGGGCAAAATCAACAACCTGATCCCCCAGAACTGAGTGGTAGTGAAGGGGGGGGGGGAGAGAGGCTTCAGGCAGTGATTTGACCCCCACCGTCGGGGGGGCGGGGGGGGGGGGGGTAGTATTCCAAGGTGGCCAAAGCAACAATCCAACCTCCCTGGGAGGAGGCACTGATAAAGAGAGATTACCTTCCAAGGGCTTAATACAATGACCAACCCCTGGGGATGGGGTGGTAGGTGTTTGGGGGGGCCCAAAGCAACAACCCGGGGCAGGGGGTGGTTCAGGGGGCTGTTCCAGAGGGGGGGGGGGGGCTGGTGGGATAACTTACAATGAGTGGCAAGGAGCAGATGGTGAAGAGGACGGTCATGAGTCCCAGCAGGATGAGGTGGTCGAGCTCCTCCATGCGTGGGGCAGTGGTGGTGGTGGGGGTCCCACGGCGGGGCTGCCGCCGTGCCATGCTGTAGAGGTGCCACATGCTGCTCACATTGCAGGTGCCGATGGCCAGCACCAACAGGCCCATTAGGCTGGCATAGAGGACAGGGAAGACGAGCTGGCGTGGTCCACCGCCAGCCATGCGGATGAAGCACCATGTGCCGGGGCAATACTGCATGGGCACCCCAAAGCCCAGCAGTGGCAGGGCACAGAAAAGGGCGCAGAGCCCTGCCGCTGCCGGCCCCAACGTGGCACCCAGCCGCCGGGTGAGGTGCCGTCGGTAGAAGTAGGGATGCCCCAGGGAGAGCCAACACTCCAGCGCCATAGCCAGCAGCAGCAGGGTGGGGGCCAGCCCGAAGAAGGCCATGAGGAAGGCGAAGAGCTGGCAGAGGACGCCCGGCTCTCCCTCGGTGCGCCCGCCGGGTCCCAGCTCGCTGAGGCTGCGATTGTAGGCATAGGCTGCCAGCACGATGGGGCTGAGCAGGCACTTGCCCAGCAGGTCCGTGACCGCCAGCCCGCTCACCAGCACGTAGAACGCGGAGACCCGCGGCGGGCGGCCGCCGGGGGACCGGGACCGCCGCCTGTGCTGGCCTAGAAGAAGGAGGGCCAGCACGTTACCCAACAGCCCGGCAGCGAACAGCACCGAGCTGGGCACCGCCGACTGCCCGCTCTCGATGTACCGGCTGCTACGGCACCGGTAACCCTCCGCCTCCATCGGGATACCCCGCACCGGGATGAGATGCTCCGCTGCGCACCGCACCGCTCCGCACCGCACCGGGCTGCGCCGCGGCTGCCGGCGACAACTGCCCCGGCACGGAGGGCGGCCCCCTCCGCCGGAGAGAGGGAGGAAAGGAGGCAGAGAGGGAGGGGAGAGGCGGCGCGGCGCGGACGGCCTGGCCCGGCCCCTGGGGCGGCCCCTTCCAGCCGCCCGGCCCTCCCCGGGCCGTCGGAGGGCGGCTGCGGGGTTGGGAGAGCGCCGCGCTCGAGCGGGAGAACCGCGACTGCGGGAGGGGGACGAAACCCGGGAGGGGGGTACGGGTAAGGGGGTGGCAGCTGGGTCCATGGGCGGGGGGTACGGGGTAGAGCTCCCGCGGGGGTGGGTGCGCTGAACACGGCTGAGTCCCGGGGATCACAGGGCTGAGACCCCGGGGCACGACACAGGTTTGGGACCTGGAGCGGAACCCTCTCGGGAGGCTGCCGGTGAGGGGCAGGGCTGAGCCACGGGTATAGTTACAGGTAAGGGGGTCTGGGCTGAGCCCTTAGCGGGGTGACAGAGGCTGGGACTGAGCCCCTGGGAGTGTTAGGGGGTGCAGGACTGGGAACGAGATCACCTCCTGCACAGGGGTAGGCGGGGCAGGAAAGGACAGAGTTATTCCAGGGGCATTTCACTGCTGCCCAGCACCCCATGCTCTCTCCAGAGAGCACCCTCGCTCCTCTGGGTGCCCGTGCCTCTGTACATCTCGAGAGACTTACAGAGCCTGAGCCTTCAATCTAACCAGGCACCACTTCTACCTGCAGCCTATCCAGCATGCTGGCCGTGTGGTGGTACCCTGCTGAGAATCCCATTAGAGGGTTCCCAGCCTCTCCGTGCCCTGTCAGCACTTCGCTATCCCGGAAGCAAATTCCAAAAGAAGCCCCTGAAGCCTCTTCCAGGAAAAGAAGTGGCCTTTCTAGCCACAGAAACACAACAGCACAACACGTATCACAGCTATCAGTGCACATGTGATGGTGAATAAGCATGAAACCATGGTTGTCTGCTTTCAGGACCCTTTTTACTACTCTGGAGGAGTACAGGAAGCACAGGAAAGTATCAAGATGACAGGAGGGGTATGAAAGGAGCTCTAAGAGGCAAAGCACCAGCCCTGACGTGGTTTAGTGATGAGCTCCATTTCTCACGCTGTCTGAATAGAGCTGGTGACTTCTCCAGCAGAGCGCGCAGGGCCTGTTTGTGGCTGGTGCTCTGTGCCGATGAGAGCCCCAGTTCTGAAAGAAATCGAGATAAAACTCGTTGTGGTGCAGCAGTTACACACATGCAGCGTAGAAGTGCTGCCTTCGCTAGGGCTGAACGAGAATCCAGTGACTGGTTCCTGCCTGGGGCCCCGGGAAGAAGAAATTCAGCCTGGCCAGAGAAAAAATATCCTCCCAGCCAGTGCCTCAAAACCACATCCACTGCTGCCTTTAGCAGGCCCAGCACCATGGACCTGTGGCTGTTGTCAGCTCCCTGCAGATGATGAGCCCGGGAGACTGCTGGGGAGGGCAAGCAGGCAGCCTGACAGTGCCCCGGTGGATGTATTCCATTTTCCAGCCCTGGGATCCTCTTTATGGGCTGATCCCGGCAGTTGAGCAGAGGGAGGATGTGGGGGGATCTCTCTGGTTTTCCCCAGGATAAAGATTAGGAAGGAGAGCCCAGCAATGCCAGAGAGCTCATTTACCAGCTTCCAAGAGCTGGGAAGACAGTTCTCAATCCAGACTGGGGCTTGCACATGGGCAGAGCATCTACACTCCTTCTGACTGAAAGCCACTTGAACCAAAAACCCATCCCAGGCAAGCTTCCTCTGTCCACAGGAGCTGTCTCTCCAAATTAAATGCCTGGGCTTTGCTTTCATTCCTGCACTGACGGCATTGGAGGATTCTGCTCCCCACCACCCATGCACGGTGGGTCCCAGGGACTTGCTGTTGTGAAGTGATGATACTGCAGGCTCCCATACATGGAACATCACCACCAGTCTGATATAGGAGAGACCGAAGTTCTGGGCTCCCCCTCCACTGTGGGGAAGTCCCTCAACAGCCACCAGCCTGCTGGACAGACAAAGCCAGAAGGCCAAATTCAGCAGAAATTGGTTGCTTGGGGAGAGGAGGAGGAGGAACTGTGACAAAATCCAGCCCTTTGGAGGTGGATACTGCCCCAGATGCACCAGCTGCCTGGAAACCCCAAAGGACCAGGGGATACTGCTGTTCCTGTCCTCACACCCCTCTCTACCGGGGTGACGAGGAAAGCCTGGGACAGAGAAGGCTTTTTGGGACCATCTTCTGGTCCAGCCATACCTCTGGTTGTGTGCATGGGAGATGCCACTCAGCACAGCTGTGGCTGGGGGATGCTTTTCACCTACTCCCAGCTCTTTCCCTACTGATGGAAGGTCTGACGCTGAGCATGGCAGGCCATGGTGACCGTCCTTCTTTGCCGGGGGGGATCCAGCCCCCAGTAGAGCCAGGCTTGGGACTGGGGTAGGTGTGCAGCCGGGAGCATAACCTCAGACTCATCTCCCTCCTTCATCTTCCCTGAGAGAGAAACCAGTGTGGGCAGTGGGATGCACCGAGTCCCTGTTTAGCTCTTCTTTTAGTTCATTTGCATAAATTGAGCTATTTGACTAGGAAAAAGAGACTTTGAGAAAGTCTCATTGCCACGCATGACGAATCCCTCCTGTTCGTCACGCTTCCGACGTGACCCTCTTCTTGCCGGTCACATTCCTGCTGGAGAGGCAGGGGGGGAAAGCCCAGCAGAAAAACAACCCAAAGCGGAAGAAAAAGCAGCACGCCACAAAACCCAGAACACAGATGAGGAGCTGGAAAAAACTGAAGCATCCACAAGGAATTTCAAGGGTTGGGGTGTTTTTCCAACACTCTTGCTGACCCCATACTACTTCTCCTTGCCAGCCGGGTGGTGGCGAGCGGGTGCCTGCTTCACCGCAAAGCCCTGTCATTGCCTAGCCCGGCTTTCCCCAAAGCCCCGCCGCTGCCTGAAGAAGTCGCATCCGTCTGCTCTTCATCAGCGGCACGGCTCGGGGTGGCCGTGCTGCGATTCTCTCACCTTCCTCCAGCTCAGCGCTCGCTTTGGAAGTGTTTGTAGCGGTGTCTCAATAACCTAATTTAGAGCTCGTTAGAAGGGGAGGGTTTTGGCAGGCAGCGCCGTGCTGGGGAGCCGGATGGAGGGATGCTGCTGTGCGGGAACGGCGGCTTTGGCAGCTCTTGGATGTCGAGCAAACAAGGCTGGGAGGGTCCTGTGGAGAAGAGCCGACCTCCCTGCGCGGGGGCGCTCAATCACCCAGCCCAGCCCTGCTCCACTTCCCCGAGACCACTGTCCCTCTAGAGATGGGAGCAGGGCATCACCTTCCCCTCCCCGGTGTCCCTTCCCAATTGTCTTTCCCAGCTCCTGTTTCCCCACCAGGCTTTCAGCCTTTCACTCTTTCCAGGCAGCAGGATTTGGGGATTCACAGCTCCCCCCACATGGGCAGGGGGTGCTCCCATGGCCCAGATGATGTGACGACATGTCAAGGAGGCAACCCAGCGTCCTGCACCCAAGGGATCTCCGGGTGTGGGGATGGGGAGCACCCAAGTGTGTGATACCCTGGTGCTTTTCCTCCTGTGATGATGGGGTTTCTTTGCTGGGAAGATGCACTGAGCATCTTAAATGTGCCCGAACACCCTCATTTAATTTGGAAGGTAGAAGAACTGGCAGCTGGCACAGCCCAGTACCTGGCAGGGCTGGTCTCCGTGTCCCCTCATCCTGATCGTGATGGTGTCCCTGGGAGAGGAGGTTTTGGGGGGGCTGCTTGGGCACACGGTCCCTCCAAGCTGCGAATACAGACCTGCTCTGAGTCGTCGGGTGACCCAGGCAGGAGAAATTCTGCGGACTGCTTCCAACTGTGTTCTTGCAGCTCACCTGGAGGAGAAAATAACCCTGGCCAGCCAGGAAATCTGCGGAACGCTGAGAGAGTGGCTGGCTCATGGGGTCAGTGGGTCCAGGTGCTGCAGCCACCTCCTCCTGCTGCACTTCAAGAGCTGCCGGCATCCCGCTGAGACCACATCCTCCCAGGTCTGCCAAAGGGGGGGAAATAAGGATGAGGAAAGAAAGCAGCTCCAGGGTGGGAAGATGTTGGGCAAGGAGGGGGCAGTGGAGCAATGTTTCTTTCCCCCATTGCACAAGTTCCGAAAGCCCAGGGCAGGGTTGGGCCTAGGCGTGGGATGACTGGAACGAGAAAGGAAAGTGTTTGGGAAAGGGCGAGTCATGGGTCGTCTGCTCAAAACACTTCCACCTGCAGATCCTGCCGGGGGCGATGGGAGGGGGGCCTGGAGCCTCGGGAGTGAGACGGGGTGGGAATGAGCCCTGGCAGGGAGAGGGAGGGAGAAGGGAAGGGAAGAGAGGATGGTTTCGGGTGCTGGGTTGCGCCTATAGCGAATGCCAGCCGGGGGGGGGCGGTCCAGGCGCGTTTGTCGCTCCGGTCCCTTGAGCCCCGGTGCGGCGGGAGGGGTCGCTGTCCGGGGGTGGCACCGGCCGCCCCGTCCCGTCCCGTCCCCACTCCGTGGCCGCGACTGTCCCGTCCCGTCCCGTCCTATCCCGCCGGTCCCGGCAGCTGCGCCGGCCGCTACACCCAGGGAGCGATCGGGGCGCAAAGCGCTCGGGGTTTTATTCGCTTTCTTTGCCGTGATTTGCTGTGATTCCCTGGCTCCGCTCCCCGGCCCGGGGCCAGCGAAGGGGTTTACTTGGCTCAGAGGCTGCCGCAGCTGCTGCAGAGGGGTGAGCGCCATCCTCCTGGGAGCTGCACCCAGGGCCAGATGTGCTGCAGCTGCAGCTCCTCGGATGCAGCGTCCTGTGTGGTGGTGTACGAGAACCCCTCAGCTCCTGCCATACCCCCTTCTGCTCTCCACAGAGCTCCAAGGCCAGAGGAGAGATCCCGTTCTGGACTCACCCACTGGAGCACCCCAGCTGCTGAGGGGAAGGGACACACGTCCTGGGCAAATATGAACCCACACCAGTGTGAAAGCAGCCAAGAAGCCCAAGCCAAAGGAGACA